GAATGGCTTTTGAAAATACTTAATAGTATCTACTAAAGCATAAAATATGCAAAACCTATGATCTAGCAATTATACTTTTAGATAAACAGAAATGCAAGCTTGTGTGTATCCAAAAACATGCTTAGGAACACTTATCAATATACATAAGAATCTCAAACTAGTAGCAACTTAAGTGTTCCTCACTTAGTGAAATAAATAAATTATGGGATAGTAAAATAATGAAATATTACACAGCAATTTAAATTACTGTTTCACAGGCAGCAATAGAGATGAATTGTACAAAATAGTGTTGATTAAAAGAAACCAGACAGCAATTCAAACTACATCATTTATATGTGGAGAGATTAACACTGTAACTGTAATTCAGATCACAAGGGGATGTGATCATACAATGGAAAGTTACAGAGGAGCCATGAATAACCTTTAAACTAGGCTACAGATTATTTTTCTTTAATCTGAAAGTCAGGAAAAGTACTGAAAAATTCAAGGAAGGGGGTAGCATGATTTGGTTTGTATCTTTCAAGAATTATTCTTCATTCAGTATATAAAAAGATTTTAGGGGTAGAATACATAAGATACAAATATTTAGGATGTTGTGGTAGGAGGGAGAGGAAAATACACCATCTCTATGTTCAGGATTAAGCAATGAATGAGGTATTAATTCACTGAGATGAGGAACACAAGAAGAGGGCTAAGTTAGCAGGAATAAATTAGCAAGGGATCAGGAATTCAGTCTTGAACATATTTTATCTGATGCAGTCCTGAAAAATCCCAAATTGGATGTTAAGCAAATAGATTTATGGGTCCTGAGTTTAGAAAAAATACAATCAGGTCAGGAATATACAGTTAGCTCTGACCAGCGTGGCTTACTTAGTTGGGCGTCGCCTTGCAAAGTGAAAAGTTGCCAGTTTGATTTCTGGTAAAGGCTCCTGCCTGGGTTATGGGTTCAGTCTTTGCTTGGGGTGCGTTCAAGAGGCAACTGATCAATGTTTCTCTCTCACATACCTGTTTCTCTCACTCTCTTCTTCCTTTCACCTATCTCTAAAAATAAAATAAATATTTTTTTAAAAAAGAATACATAGTAAAACAGAGCACAAAGGAACACCACAGTGCATTGTATAAACCATCACCACAACCTGTAAAAAATGATAGACAATGCACTTTACATATACCTCCTTGAAACCTTAGAAGTATGAGGTCTGTCCAAAAAAAATCCAGCCATTGTTAATATAACAAGAACAATTTATGTGGCACTGATGCAACCTTGTTGGGAAATTCCCTGTCTGGTTTCAGGAACTGCAGCCCCACCGACAGGCTAGAGGGCTCCAAGGCTGGAACTAATCAAGGGGGCCTTGGGAAAACAGGCCACTGAGGAAACAAAACCTGCCCCCCTGGCAGGGGCCCCTGCCTTTTTCACATCCCCCTGGTTGGCCCTGCAGGATGGCTGGTTAGCCAATGACAGGTAAGACCCCTCAATGGAAGGAGCAACCTAAGACAGGCACAGCTGCTTGGACATCAGGGGAAAATCTTGGGGCAAATGGAGAAAGGGTGAAAGACTCTCACCCCTTGGCTGGGATTCTCATTCTATCTGAAAGAAGTTTTCTCATTTCCTGGTTGCCTTGCCCTTCCCCCCACCTGGCTCAGACTTGAAACAATACTGGAGAAAATCTTAAACTGGATCTGGCAGTTCCCAGGGGAAATAAGGCCTAGAAGTAAATTCTTTAAGGCATGCTTTGTTCCTCCCTCAAAAGCTATGATAACCAGCTCATGCTGGGAAGGAAATTTACATTATTCACAGACCCTGACCCTAAACCCTTTGGCACTCTCATGTTTACTCACTCTCATGTTTACTCATCTCCTCTCAGACCCATGTAAATTGGTGTGTTCCTGCTATATGTTTTCTTCAAAGCATCATCTGTTCTCTGTAACCATTAATATACTGCTATAATGAGATCATCTATACATTCCCATTACCTAGCCCCATTGATAACCTTTTCAATAAAAGTCTTTGAAAAAAGGGAGCTAGGTGGCCTTCTCCATTAGAGGGAAGAGCCATACCCTTCTCCTAGCAGACAGGCAGAGAAGTGTCTGGAACAATTTATTATTTCCCCCCATTTGTGACAACCCTGGGACAGGCTCTGCAGGATTCAGAGCCCAAGCTCCCTCCCTCCCCTGGCCCCCAGACAGGGACCCTCAGATCCAGAATCCAGCTTCCTCTCACATAACCTGACAGCCAAGGAGAGTGGACTGAGATGAACATGCATGAACAGTGACAATGGCACTGTATTAGTCAGTGGGGATAATAGATGCCATTGAGTGAGCATGTGTACTGTGTGGCCATCACATTCAAAATGACTGAGAGAGTTGAGCAATGAATCTTTATCAAATTTTGCATTAAGCTTGAACATTCCTCCACAGAAACTATTTCAATGGTTCAGAAGGTTTTTGGGAATGATTCAATGAATTCAGCACAAATAAACGTGTAGCACAAATGCTTCAGTCTCAGCAAGATCAAAGCCATGTTAACTGTGTTTTTTTGATTGGGAAGATTTGTCCATAATGAATATTCCCCTCTAGACCAAATAATTAATGAGGAGTACTATCTCAGTGTTCTTCCTCGGTTGAGGGAGGTGATATGACACAAACATCCACAGCTATAGCCAACAGATGATCAGCAGCTTCATCATGACAACATGTCTGCTCATACATCACATCTGGTTGATAGTTTTTTGGTGAAACATCAAATCACCCCCTAGAGCCCAGACTGGTGCCCTGTGATTTCTGGCTTTTCCCAAATCTAAAATCACCTTTGAAAGGGAAGAAATTTCAGACCACCAATGAGATTCAGGAGAATATAATGGGACAGCTGATGGCGATTCCAACAAAGGATTTTGCAGAGTGTTTTAAATGGTGGAAGAGACACTGGGGGAACTGTGTGAGGTCCCAAGGTGTCTACTTTGAAGGGTACTGAGGCATCATTGTCTTATACACAATGTTTCTTGTATCTTCAATAAATGTATCTATTTTTTATAGTACATGGCTGTATGCTTTCAGGACAGCCTTGTATTTGTGAAGTTGGAATCATTATCCTATTTTACAAATGAGGAAAAATTGTTTAAAACTTTACTTATTCATTTTTTAGAGAGAGGGGAAGGAAGGTAGAAAGAGAGGGAGAGAAACATTGATGTGAGAGAGAAACATTGGTTGATTGCCTTATGAACACCATCCAGGGGCTGAATCTGCAACCCAGGCATGTGCCCTGACTGAGAATCAAACTGATAACCTTTTCACTTTGCAGGACAATGCCCAACCAAGTGAGCCACACTCGTCAGGGCAAGTGAGGAAAATTTTAACTGTACTTTGCAAGTCAAGGGAGGTGTAATTTGATCTTTGTTCATTAAAGCCCAAAGCCTTGGTTTTTCACTTCTATGCCAAGGACCTGGGTACAGGAATTTCAAGTAATTGCCATAGAATGGTTATGCTCAGTGCCAGCTCCAAACATGAGACTTCTAAGCATTTTCAGTTTTGTCAATAAATTTTCTTCTTCTCATTCAGCATACAGGGAAACTGCCTATCATTAATGACTTCTCCACTCTCTATTTTACTATGTTTTAAGTCCCATAAAATCTTTGCTACAATGGTTCGTTACTTAATTTTCTCTTAGTTTCATTGCATCTGTCATGTTCAGTCCTTTAGCCATCACTTCACTGTAATCACAGCAGACTCCCATGGCTATTCCCAAGTTAGATCCTGTCTTTTCAGTCCTATACCTACACATGAATCAATTTCCCTCAAATTCTCTATCTACTATTCCCCTCTCATGTGCAAGAAACTTCACTGGTTCTTTTTGCTTCTAACAATTGTAACCCTCTTTTATGGTGTCTCTAGTAACCTTTAATTTTTAATCAAATGCACTGCACTGCATTTGAAGGGCAAGTTTCTCTTCCATCACTTAGGCCTGGCATGATGATTCCTGGATTTATCATTTTTCTATATAAACAAAATTTTATCTCCATTAATACCTCAATGGAATTAGAAATATATTCCATGTCACAAAGATAACAGTCAGTTCATATGCCTTAGCGATGTTTCTCCCATTAATGCCACTGAAGACACTAGGGAAAATTTTATAGTGTGGCCTTGACTGGGTCTGTGGGAAACCCTAACTTCACTGTATTATAGCTGATAAAAATATGTTTCTTATGCCCTGGTGGAATGGCTCAGTTGGTTGGAGCATCACCTCATACACCAAAATGTTGTGGATTTGATCCACAATTGGGGTACATACCTGGGTTGCAAGTTTGATCCCTGGTTAGGGCACAGGTGCCTGTTTCTCTCTCACATTGATCAATCTCTTTCTCTGCTTTCCTCTCTCTCTAAAATCAATGAAACATGCTCTCAGGTAGGAATGTACATATTATACATATATAATGTATATGTATATATGGTGAGGATTATATATACAATATGTGTTATGTAGTATGTATATTTTTTCTGTTAAATAGAAGTGAACTATAGCCCAACGGGAGCTCTACCCTGAGTTTATACAAATAATAACATATACAGGACCCATTCTAAGTTCTAGGATGCCCTACTCATGATTCCAGCCATCTTCTTGCATGTCTTAAGAGTACTTCTATCCCTTCTCCTTTTCTGAAGATGTGGGCCAATTCAAGAATATACTTTCTCTTTATGGAAGTAGCTACTCCATTGAAACCACTCTTATCTTGCAGAGACTCACAAGAGATTCTTCTCTATCATCCTCAAACTCCCAATCTAATAATTCTATTCTTGTAGAAGTGCTTTATTTTAGCTGAATTAACATAAAAGACAAACACACAGAAAGAAGACAAGGATATTTCTTATAGAGCATAATTTTTATTTTATTTTTACCATATAAGTGTTAAGTCTAGAAGCAAGACATTGTCCCCAGTCTTCGGGAGATGGACTCCTGGAACACAGAACTCTCCGGTAGGCACTCACAAAATTGGATGGGCAACTCAGTGGTACTTGAAGGCCAGAGCATTAGCCACAGCAGTTGTCAGCTTCTGCCAGGCAGCCTGCATCTGGGGGGTAAACTCCCTGCCAAATTGAGTTGCCAAGACAATCAAAATCATATTGCCTAGGAGCTGAGGAGAGAGTGGGGGTAAAAAGAAATTGTACATAGTAAACAGAAGACTTCAAATAAGACTTGCAGCAAAAGATACAACACCCATTTCCTTCCTGTTAAGAATCTGAGCAACTTTCATGGTCATGCTCCTATAAAAGTGCATCATTTTAGGCTTGACATTGGCTTCTATGTGATTCCTTGTTGTGCACCTGCCATTGGGTTCAACTCTTTTCCCATTTGCTCTGCCAGCTCATGACCTCAGAACATTGCTATGATGTTGCTATAATTGCTTCTCTCTTTTAGAGAATATTTGTCTTTAAAAAAAAAGGATTATCGTACTGCAAGGGGTCTCAATATGTACAGTCTAAGTCTCCAGATAGTACATATATTCAAATTACATGGATACTCGTATGACAAAGAATCTTGTACTGTATATACAGGAACATTTCATCACTACTAATAGAAGGAGATGGCAAGGAACACAATCATTCAGTGATAAGATTGCTTTTACTTGTCCTGCTTAGTCCTAGGTCTAACATCAGAATCATGCAGCAATATATTCATCAATTTTTATAGAAAATTTCAGTTAGATAAAGCAAGGGATTTTCACCATGGCTCAATCTGTATTCTCTAGGCCAAAAACATTTAGCTTGATTTTGCCGAGTGCCCTTCATAACAATATACTGTTTCAGAAATATCCGGTAACCAGTGGTCTCTACTGATCCTAGTAGTTACTCCACCCTACTTGGTCTTACCTTCGAAACAACTCAATCACCAAAACCTAGCCCTTCCCTGAAATATTACTTTCAATAACTACCTACATATGATAAAACTTAAGTGCCTGTGTTTCCTAATGTATGCACAACACAAATATCCAAGATAAAAGATCAAGCTACAGACATGCTCAGGACTCACCTTGAAGTTTTCAGGATCCACATGCAGCCTGTCACAATGCAGCTCACTTAGCTGAGAAAAGGTGCCCTTGAGATCATCCATATGCTTAACAGCATTTCCAAAGGAAGTCAGTACCTTCTTACCATGAGCCTTTACCTTGGGATTGCCCATTATTGCAGTTTCAGAAGATAAGTTGCCAAAATTGTCAAAGAACCTCTGAGTCCATGGGTAGACAACTAAGAGCCTATGGGATGAAAATAGTCACAGAGAAGATGGGAAGTCAGAGTATGTAAGAGGAAGTCAGAGTATCACTGAGGGCTCACAGATAATCAAATATGTCATGGTAAATTATCTTTTGTCACTTTTATCTTTTGTAAAGAGAAATTTCTCTTTATAATTTCTCTTTCAGGACACTTTCTGCCTTTTTTCCTCCTTCCCTCACTTCTAGTAGTTACCTTCCCAGGATCTCGCCTCCGGCCACATCCATGTTCACCTTGGCCCACAGGCTAGCAACAGCAGCCTTCTCCTCAGCAGTAAAATGCACCATGGTGTCTGGGAGTTTTCTGTTGATCACAGATGAGCCAGAAGCAAGTCTGCGTTGCTGCTTCTCTGTGTGGCCTTTTATTCTTCATTTGTGGCCCCCAGGCTCTTGCTTCTCCCAATGAAATGTAACCATTGGTCAAGGGTAGGCTGTCACCACCAAAGGTTGGGTTTGGACAAGGGAAGGCCAGCAGATGGACATTTGTGTCACTGATAGTGTTAGGTGGCTCTATCAGGGAGAGTCTGCTGTTCTCTCCCTTACCATCTACTATGCAACTCATATCTCAAGCTCCTCACCAGCATTATCCCTGGTGACCTGTAGGCTGACCATGAGGCATGACTAGAATTAAGAAGGGTAAGAATTAGAAATCTGTTAGTCATTGTGTCAGGTGTTCAAGACATTATTCTGTGGTTCGTGTAGGATATAGAAGAAGTCACAGTTTGACTCAGTTATCCATTTTTCTAAGGCTTAATGAGACTCATACTTATATATTTCTTGCACTTGGTAAGAAAAAAAAAACTCTAATCCAGCATCACTTTGGAAACAGGATAAGCAAAAAGTGGATAATTTATAAAAGAATTGAGCATTTCACTGTTCGTGAGTTCCATTAATAATATATGCACTTGTCTGAGCAAATTTATTTCATTCTGATGGTATGGACAAGTGTCTCTGGCCCATACCATGTATCTACTCATTTTTGTCAGAGAATATACAACCTAGTATTGGGGAAAATAGATGTTTCTGTGTTCAATGAACAGAGTATTAGAGAACTCTGTAGAAGTGGCTATGGATTAAGGGAGTTGTCCCTAGCATATGCTGGATACACACTCCTTTCCCGTGTTTAACTTTTCCTTATATCTAATGACAGAGGCAATCTTCACTGACAGTATGCCACATACTATTGTCATTGTGATTTAAGGTACTTTGGTCTCATGAATATCAAACAAGCATTTATGAGACTAGACAGAGCATAATTCCTGTGGGAGAGGGAAAGGCTTATTTTATTTTCTTTCTTTCATAGGTTAATTGCTCCCATATTTTGAGTTCCAGGATTGTTTGTTTGCGTCTTCCAATATCAATCTTACAAAAAATAGCATATAGTTTATTAATCTCCATGTGTATTTACAGAGGTACTTTAAAATTTAATATATTAACCAAATACATTAGGGCCAATTTTCTGTTTTTACAAAAGAAATCTTTCCTGTTCATTTGATACAGTAATAGACTTTTACCTGTTCAGCTTGGAAAAGACTTCAATGTGAACTGTGGAAAAGAATTGCTGAGGTGACAAAAGATAATTTACCATGACAGACTTGATTATCTCTGAGCCCCCAGTGAGGAGCTGTATTGATGCATGCACTTTGATATGGAGATGTTAAGCAGAGAGTTTGAATCAATCCCAAAAGGATTTGCTTCAAGAGAAGAGGTCAACTGCCATTTAGCTGCTTATCACATTAATGCTAGATCATCATCACAGTCATCTAACAGTTTCCCAACCATTCATCATATATTAAAAAATTGAATATTTATTGACAGTAATCATACAGGACACTGTTTTCAACACTGGAAATCTTAGATGAACAAAACAGCTTGATGAAGTCTTACATGATTGCATTCTAGTGGGCAGAAGAAACTGACACTAATAATTAAACAAATAAATGAATGAGAATTTCAGATAGTGTTATACGGCAGGAAAAGAATGCACCTGATGACAGTAGCAAGTGACTACAGAAAAACAGTATAAGGAAAGATGTCCTAAAGTTATATCTGAAGTGGAACCTTAGTGGTATGGTAGAGAAAGGTACAAGCAGTTTTGAGAAACAAGTACCTGGAAGCAGGAAGAGCAAATGAAAAACTCTGAACCTGGAGAGAAAAAATGGAAGGAAGGAAAGAAAGAAGAAAGGGAGGGAGGGAGGGAAGGAGGAAAAGAGAGGGAGAGAAAGAAAGAAACGACTTGGAATTTCATTTAGAGAAAGACATTACAAGGTCAGAGTAAAACATGTAAGGAAAGGGTAGGAGGAAGCAAAGATGGAAAGGTAGGCACAGGATAGAGTGGATACTATATTCTAAGGCATGGGGAATTAGTGCAGATTTGCAAACCTGATATTAGCATGGTCTCTAATCTACTCAGCATCCACAGCCAGGTTCATCTTCCTAACTTTCCTGTCCATCATACTAGACTCTTGCTAACTAACAGGTATTAACATCCAGTCTAACAAAAACTCCTGTGACCTGTCTGTACTCTGTGTAATTTCTTTCCTTTTCCTTTTGAGCTCACAGTGCAGATCTGTTGTTCTGGGCTGGTTTCTGAGCTTCTTCTGTTTCGTTTTGTCCATGTAAATCTCCATCTCTAAGCAGTTTATAACAGTCTCCCTTCCTTGTAATGCTGCAGCCAATCTGCACACTTGGGCACTGTCTCTCCTGATGACAATGCAATCAGTTTAATCTAAGCAGCTCTCACCACTTAAGCCATAAAGTTCCTCCCTTCCTCTCTCCCTCCCTCCCTTCCTTTTCTTTCTCTCCCTTTCTTTCTTTCTTGCTTTCTTGCTTTCTTCTTTCTTTCTTTCTTGCTTGCTTGCTTGCTTTCTCTGTCTCTTTCTTTCCTTTCTTCTTTTTGCTTTTTATATGTTGTTGTTTATTTACAGTTGTCCCACCTTTTTCCCCATTGCTCACCTACCCATGAAGTTCTTAGTAAAGCCCAGGATCAGTACTTTGGAGCTAACTTTGAAAGAATTATCCCCTGTTCTGACCTCCAACCCCTCCCATCCCTAATCTATCCTCACAAGTGCTTGTAACATACCAGTTGCTTTTAGAAAATGTGTTCCCATAAGCAGAATGGTATTAGGATTCTTTCCTGGATCTTACTGTCTTAATACCTGGGTTAATTTTTCTCTACCATGTCCCTACATGGGTACTCTGCCTCCATCTAGATCCCTTGCCTTCACAGAAGTGTTTACTCAGGCTCATGTAATTGTCTGGTTCTGAGGAGCTCTTTTCCCAGAATGCCCATTTCTCCCACCAGAACTCTTCCATATCTTTAACTTTAACTTGGAAAATTCCCAAGTGTATGTTCCTTCTAAGTGCATGTCGCAGGCGTGTATTTCTTTTAATGCCCCGTTATTTTATTTTCTCATCAAAAGAAAACACACACACACACACACACACACACACACACACACACACAACTCAACATATAATCCCTGGGGTTCTCACATACTTAATAGCACATGGGTAAAATAGAACTGAAGACAATTACAGAAGAATTCTTAGCAGAAAATTTGTTATTATTATTGTTATTATTATCACTACTACCACTATTACCATTATTATTATTTGAAAAATAAAGTTGTTTCTTGAAAGTCCACTTTTTAACTTAGTCCAAGAATTAACATCAAGAAGCACCTCCTTTGTTTCTCTTGTGTGCTCATGAAACAACTCTAAAGGGGCAGAGGTTCTTTCTTCTATAACTAGTTGTCCACACAATCATATCTGGGACATCACTGCACTTTAAATAACTTTATCTCCAATTCACTACAGTTTTTGAAAGGACACGTTTCCAATGTGATGAAGTCAGAATTCTTATTTCTTTTTTCTCTGAGAATAAGGCATAAACCTCAGATGTTACCTGATCAGGAGTCCTGAACCTGAGGAAACCTGACTTAATTATTTGACCCTAATATAGAGACCTGCAGATCAAATAAAACTGAGATTAAGGAGTCACCAGGTACAGTCTTTAGGGTTTTCTAGATACTTAATCATGTTATCTGCAAACAGTTACACTTGTACTTCTTCATTCCCAATTTAAATACCTTTTATTTCTTTCTTTTACCTGATTGCTCTGGCTATGACTTTCAGTACAATGTTGAATAAGAGTGGTGGGAGTAGATATACTTATCTTGTTCCTGATATTAAAGTAAAAGCTTTCAGTTTTTCACCATTAAGTATAATATTATCTGAGGGTCTTTGTCACATCTGGCCTTTATTATGTTGAAATACTTTCTTTTATACCCGTTTTACTGAGGTTTTTAGTCATAAATGAATGTTATATCTTATCAAATGCATTTTCTGCATTTATTGATAAGATCACATGATTTGTATCCTTTATTTTGGTAATGTGATGTCTTACATTGCTCCACCAAAACACTATTAGAAACAATAAACAAACACAATAAAGTTAAAGAATACAAAATCAGTGTAAAAAATCCACTGCATTTCTTTATACTAACAATGAAATTTTAGAGAAAGAAATTTTTAAGAAACCAATCCTTTTCCCAATTGCAACAAAAAGAATGAAATACCTAGGAATGAATTTAACAAAGGATGGGAAGGAACTATATAGTAAAGACTACAAAGTATTATTAAAAGAAATTGAGTAAGACACAATGAAATGGAAAGATATTCCATGTTCATAGACTGGAATAATCAGCATAGTTAAAATGTCCATATTACCCAAAGCAAGATACAGCTTTAATGCAATCTCAAAATCCCAATGTCATTTTTTAAAGAAATAGACAAAAATCAGATTTATGTGGAACCACAAAGACACCAAATAGCCAAAATAATACTGAGAAAAAAGAATGAAGCCAGAGGTATTACATTCTCTGACTTCAAATTATACTGCAAAGAAGCAATAATCAAAACAGCATGGTATTTGTAAGCAAACAGGCACACCGACCAATGGAACTGAATCAAGAAATAAACCCACATGCATATGGGCAAATCATTTTGAACAAAGAAATCAAAAACATACAAAGGAGGTGGGGGAAAGCCTCTTTAATAAGTAGTGTTGGAAAAATTGGAAAGCCACAAGCTGAAGAATAAAACTAAATTATTGTTTGTACCCATCTACAAAAATTAACTGAAAATTGATCAAAGACAAAATATAAGACCTGAAACAATAAATTACAAGAAAGAAAACATAGGTATTAAATAAATGGACCTTGGTCTTAGAGAAGATTTCATGAATTTGATTGCAAAGACAAGGAAAGTAAAGGCAAAAATAAATGAAT